TATTTCATTTTGAAGTCTTTCTTTCGTTTTTTTAATAATGTAAATCAAGTGATTTTAGTGATTTTCTTGATTTTTTGATTTTGATTTTTCATTGTTTTTGGACTTGGGCCCGTTCATGAAGAACAAAAATAAATTGGTCTGGGCCTTAAAATGTCACTAGACAAACAACTAAATGGGTCAATTTCTTTTGTTTCTTTTTCTTTTTTTCCCTCAAGTGACAAACTAGTAATCTACCCAAAACAATTAGGCCCAAATAAACTGAAAACGTGATCCTCCTAAATTTAGAATTCCATATTCTGCCTCTCCGAAAAATTCCCCGCACGGGTAAATCGCATTGCAGAAATCGGGTGTCTAGTTAAAGAAAAATTATTTTATTTTATTTATTTTGGAATAAAAAGTACTTTCTTTTTTTTTTTTTGGATAAATACAAGGAAAATCATGATCATAAAAGTTTCTCTTAAATTAGAAGTCACTTTTATAATTATTATTTAAAGCTAACAATTCTCAATACAATTCTTGAAAACAAGCTAGTTATTATACAAATATCTTAGGCTAGAAAGAGGACGGGGAAGGGCAACACCGCTCTACATTGACCTATTGCAAGATCTTCTGTCTCCCTCTCCCTGTTCCTAAATGTAATGAGTTAGGGGACATCAATGCCTCTAACAAGTTCAATTATCTATCAAATAATCTATAACGGGCCTTTACCCATTCAATTGACCCAAAATTAATAATAATAATAATAATAATAATATATCATGGTCTTGATTCCAATTTCCACTTTGAAATATGACATTGTGGAGATTATTTTTCAGGAAAATGGAATAGCATCCACATGTATGAAGAAAGTTCAAGGGATGGGGCAGGTACGGTTAGATTTAGGTGCGGTCCTACGGTTATTATATATATATTTTTATGATTTGGTGTATATTTACATAATTTTGTTGTACTTCTTAACATACAACAAAAGTTATATAATTATATACCAAATCATGAAAGACAATAAAATTATGTAAATGTACACCAAACCATAAAAGAAATACACTAACTCTACAAAACGCACCTAACCTAATTGTACCTGCCCCGAACCTGGAAGTTCATATCTAAACTTTGAATATGAACCGTCATTCTTATTCTCACTTTTGTTACATTACAAATTTCGTCTTCTTATTACTGATGAATTTTGGTTATTACAAACATAAACTTAAAGGCAATGCTAGTGACAAATTAGCACCTTTAAAATGATTGTTCCTAAGCTATTAAAGACAAAACATGACTATCAAATTGTTGGGAAAGGTATTACCAAACGAAAAAGAAATCCGAAATCTGAATCGGTAGATGAGTAGAGTTTGATGAGAGGATAGCGTGAGTAAAATTTCATCTCAATCGGATTTCGAATCGCTCTCCAATCAAGACCTTGAAGTCTCTCTCTCTCTCTCTAGCCCTTTCTCTCTCTTCGTCTCGCTCAAAATTGGTGGCTGACTTTTTTTTTCTCTCTCGCACGAGACCGAAGCTTGAATTGCATCTTGTGGCTGCTCCAAAAAAAATGTATTTAAGCTTGAGAAACCCTCAAGCATTTGCATAGGTGGGTTGGCCCACAAATGGGTTGGCCCACACCTGATGCGACTGCCGAAGTGAAGATCCGACTTGAACTGAGGGTTGTGGAACGAACTGGTTAAACGTCCGACCTGCACGTGAACGAGCTGCGGGGCTAGGTCCCCTGGAGCAATTCCGACGATCAAGTCAGAACAGGCTCGTGAGTGAAAGAGTAGAGATTGCACTATGAATAGCGTACCTTGTGTTCTCCCTTCGTGTGATATTTATAGAGTCTCAAGTGGTAGCTTCCCGGTAGGACAAGGAGTCCTTATTGGAGAGGAAGTGGTTCCTAGGGCTCCATGACACGGACCTGGAAGCGCGGACCTCGCAGCCCATCAGGCCCATCTGCCTGAGAGGCGGCGCTCGTATGGACCTGCGAGCTGACCTGACTCCCCAGTCCAGCTCCTCCTGTTCAGAGTTCGTGGACCGGACTGATGTGTTTGTGAACCGGGCCGATGTGCGCCTGGGCCCCACTACACTAGCCCCCCTCCAGTCTAGAGTCGCCGCATGTGCGCGTGACTCTAGCCGTCTTTCTGGCATCGTGTCAGCTCGATGTGGGACCCTCGTCTGGGAGTGGTGCACTCAACCGTCGCGTCGGTCCGTGTCTGTCATCTCAATCGTCGCGTCGACCAGTTATGACGGTTAGGAGCGGTTCCCCATAAACGGTTCAAATAAATGCCCGCCTCTTCGCTTTCCCGCTCTATGGATCGCCTATAAATAGGCCTCTTTGGGCGTCATTTTCACGCCTCCTCCTTCATTCTATCTGTTCGCTCTTTACCTCCTTAGTTCGCTGCTTCACCCTTTCTTCTTCAAGAACACGTCGGGTCACCCTGCCTTAGTCCAGAGTCAGTCCGCGCATTACCTAAATCAGCCTTTCGTCCGATCTCCTACTTCCACCCGTAAGTTCCCCTTTCCTTTTATGTCTTCTTACAGTTCTGATAGTTCTGACGTTACCAGTTCAGCCCTTAGGCATAGAGCAGCTAGTCCCATAAACCTAGATAGCAGTTCTCCCGATCCCCTTAGCTCTTCTCCTTCTGTCTCATCTGGGCCAGCACCAACGCCTTCTCCCATCCTATCTCCCGTTAGGGTAATGAGCCCGGCCGAGCGACCTGCTCAGCCTCTAGCCGGAGCTGCTGAACAGGCAGCTCCAGCTCAGACGGTAGCCGGGACCTCGGGGGGACCTAGTGGCGACTTCGGAGTGGTTGACACTATCTCCCCGGCCCTGGAACAAAAAGATGTAGACTTACTGGTAGAAAAGTATGAGATCCCAGCCCTCTTTGAGCCTAGGGCTGCCTATCCAGGAGAGGTCGCCAGCCGACCTCCACCCGGGTTTGTGGCGATCTACAGGGACCAGCTGATAGCTGGTCTTCGCTTGCCTATCCCTGATTTCTTCTTTTTCATCCTCACCTTCTGGGGTATCCGCATAACTCAGGTCATTCCCAATGGTGTTCGCTCCATCATAGGCTTTTTTATCCTCTGCCGAGCACTAGAGATCCCCTTTTCTCACGACCTGTTCCAAGCCTTCTTCCAGATGAAGGTCAGCGGAAAGGTGCCTGGGTGGTTCTATTTTGCCCGCAGAAGCGGAGCAAAAACCCCCACCCGCGAGCTGTTCACGGGAGCACCTTCCTCGATCAAAGACTGGAAGCGTTACTTCTTTTTTGTAAAGAACCTGGGCTTTCCTCCCCTGACCTGGAGGGCGGAGACTCAGGTCTCGGATCCCCTTCCATCCCCGCTCCCAGTGGCCGAGCTGAGCCGGCTACTCAGCTCGGACGAGAAGCTAGAGGTGAAAGAGTTCAGCAACGCCTAGCTTTGGGCGGCGGGGCTGATCCGAGCTAACCCCTCAGATCCCTCGCCAGAAAATAAACCACTCTCCCCGGAGGAGCTAAACAACTGTAATCGACCTGACCTTCCTCCTTACTTCCTTTCTTCTTCTTCTTTTCTTCTTTATGCATCTACTGACCCTCTGGTCCTCTATTTATGCAGTGAAGAGATTTTCTTCACTTCTGACCATCGGAGGCGCCAGCAATCCGGGCGCGACCACACAGCCTTCCTCAGCCATCCCGACCAGCTCGGTGCCAGTCCCGCCGCTTTAGCCAGCTCCTGCCCAGTCCTCTAAGCTCGTTGAGGCTGGGAAAAAGAAGAAGAAGAAAACGACTGCCAAGAGAGCCAGGGTGGAGGCGACCTCGTCCCCAACCCAGGAAGAGAGGTCGACGCCTGAGCCTGGTCAGGGCGGCCATTATGGTGTGAATACCGCCGAGGAGCAGGCCCGAGCTGGAGCTCCTCCTAACCTCTGGCAACGCCAAAGCTCTACCTTGCTGTTTGACCCACAGACACGGCTGATCACGCATCAGCATCCAATGCATTTCTGCCCCCAGTGGAAGCTTTCCATAAACGACCGAGCTCAATTTCCAGAGGTGGCCAGGGAGCTCGCCCATGGGGCCATCCTTCCGAGAGACTACAACTTGGTCAAGGCCATGGAGTCGTCCGACCTCCTCGACTACTACTGCACAGGCGCGGCTCAGGTGAACGTGGTCGGGTCCGAACTGGCCAAGCGCTACGAGAGCCTGCTCCCCCTGATGAGCGAAACGAAAGCGGCTAATGAGAAGCTGCTGAGCCAAAATGAAGCGGCTGTGGCCGAAGCTGAAGGCCTGAAGAAGCAGCTCGCCCAAGCGCACTCAAACTTCGAGTTGGAACTTAAGAAGAACTCCGACTTGACCACCCAGTTGAAGGAGGCGCAGGAAAAGAGCGCCGAGCTGTCTGCTCAGGTAGAGGCGGCTAAAGTCGAGGGAGGCCGGAGGGCGTGCGGGCCTTCCTTAGGTCGGAGGACTTCAGGTGCGACCTGGCCATCCTGAACACCCCAGTGTTGCAACATGGGTATTTCCAAGCCCTAGAAGAAGTGCAAAGGCTGGGTCTGCCTGGGTTTGATCTGAGCAAGTTCCCCAGCTACAATCCCCTGGCCGTGGAGCAGCTCGACCGCCTGGTGGAGGGCTACACGCATGGACGGAGGCTGGTCGATCTGGTTGTTGATCCTCTGCTGCCAGTGACCACCCCCGAATCCGAGCAAGAGGAGGAGGAGGGCGAGAACTAGAAGAACTAGGGTAGGATCTTTAGAGCCCAAACTGCTAGTAGACAGTTTGTTTTGCATGAGTTCGGCTACTTCTAGGCTCAGTTCCTTTTGTAAGAGCTCGGACCATTGTACAGTTTTATTAAATGGAATGAAGAATCTTTCCTTTGTTTCGTACTTAGCCGCATTTATAAAACTTCTTGTCATAGAATTAAAATACATTAGTTCGGTCCATCGCCGGCCTAAATGGGCTACCCCCTACAACAAAGCAACTTATTAACCCAAAATACATCAATATCAATAAAAGTCTTGACCTTGGCACGAGCCATTGTGTGCGGGCTTATCGGAAAATCCTCAAGTTGGAATTGTGCCAGGTACGCGGGACTTCTTCCCCGCCGAGGTGGGCTAACTTGCAGTATCCAGCTCGATCTGCTTCTTTCACCACATAGGGACCTTCCCAGTTCGGGTCTAGCTTGCCCGTGCCCTGAAGCCGGCTCACACTATTCTTCCTCAAGACCAGGTCCCCCGGTTTGAAAGACAAAGACCTCACCCTAGCATTGTAATGCCGCGCGACCTGTCCCTTATACTTAGCCATTCGTATGGCTGCCTCTTCTCTCCTGGCTTCCAGCAGGTCCAAATTAAGACGTAGCTCTTCCTCATTGTCCCGAGCTATGAAATTCTGAACCCTGCCAGAAGGAACCCCGATCTCAGCAGGGATCACCGCCTCTGCCCCATAGGTCAGGACAAAAGGGGTCTCCTGTGTAGCGGTTCGGGGAGTAGTTCGGTAAGCCCAAAGTATGGTTGGAAGTTCGTCCAGCCACCCAGTTCGTGCGAGCTCAATCCGCGTCTTCAAGCCATGCAAGATGGTCCTGTTAACGTTCTCAACCTGCCCGTTGGCTTGAGGGTGTCCTACCGAGGTGAAGTGCTGTCGGATCCCGAGCTCCGAGCACCAGCCTTGAAGTGTACTGTCAGCGAACTGACGTCCGTTGTCTGAGACCAGGACATGGGGTATACCAAATCGGCAGACGATATTTCTCCAGAGGAACTTCTGCACCGATCTGCTGCTAATGGTGGTAAGGGGCTCAGCCTCCACCCATTTGGTGAAATAATCCACCGCCACCACTATATGCTCATAACCTCCAGGAGCTCGGGGAAATGGGCCCAACAGGTCGATCCCCCACTGGAAGAAAGGCCAGGGGCTCTGAAGAGGGATCATCTCTTGAGTTGGGGGGTGATGGATCGGCGCATGCAGCTGGCAGGACTTGCACCGAGCTACCAGTTCGGCTGAATCCATGAACATGGTCGGCCAATAATATCCAGACAGCATTCCCTTCTTGGCCAAAACCCTTGGGCCGACGTGGTTTCCACAGATGCCCTCATGCAGTTCACGCAGGATGTAGTCTCCTTCCTCCGGAGTGATACACCTCAGCCACGGGCGTAGGTAGGATTTCTTGTAGAGTACCCCGTTCGAGAGCTCGTATCCCCGTGATCTGAGGAGGACCCTTCGTGCCTCCACCCGGTTTGGAGGGAGTTCTCCACTAGCCAGGTACCGCACGATGGGATCCATCCATGAGCCAATCACTTGAATAACAGCTGCCTCTACCTGGTCATATGTCCGATTTCTGACAACTTCTACCAGGACTTCTTTGCTCAACGTACCGACCGAGGTGGAAGCTAGTTTGGACAGAGCATCCGCTCTCTTATTTTGGCTTCGCGGGACCTGCTTGAGTGTGAATACCTTGAACTGAGTTCTCAGCTCACGTACTCTGGCGACGTACCTCCTTAAGGGCTCTTCCTTAACCTTTTAACTTCCCCCCACCTGATTCACTATCAGCTGCGAGTCGCTGTAGACTTCTATTGACTTGGCCCCCAACTTCCGAGCTATCATCATCCCAGCGATCAGGGCCTCGTATTCGGACTCATTGTTAGAGGCCCTGAAATCAAACCTCAGGGCGTAGGCCAGCTCATCCCCCAGGGGACTAGTCAAGAGAAGTCCTGCTCCGCATCCTTCCTTGCTTGAAGATCCGTCCACGAACAGCGTCCAGGTCGGAATGGTCCGATCGACCTTGCCGGTGGCCTGTTTTACAGCCTCTCTGGCCTGTTCAACCTCCGCTGCGCCTCTGACCTGTCCGGCCTTGGCTTCCTCCTTGGCCTGTCCGACCTTGGCAAGTCCTTGACCTGCTCGGCCTCGACTGCGTCTACGGTCTGCTCGGCCGGGGAAGTCTTAGCGCCTTTCGTGACCTTGGAAGCTTTTCTGGCCTGACTGGCCTTAGCTACGTCTTGGGTCTGTTTGGTCTTGGCGGCCTGCGTGGCCTCGACAGCTCCTCCGGCCTGCTCGGCCTCGGCTAAATCTCTGGTCGGCTCGACCTGTGACTCATGTTGTCCAAAGGAGACTCCTTCGGCTATGAAGTCTGCCAATGCTTGGGCCTTGATGGCCGTGCGGGGTTGGTAGCTGAGATCGTACTCAGACAGCTCCACAGCCCACCTTACCATTCTTCCTGATGCATCAGGCCTTGAAAGAATTTGCTTGAGAGGTTGGTCGGTCATGTCCACCACGGGGTGAGATTGCAGGTATGACCTGAGCTTCCGGGTCGCGTGAACCAATGCCAAAACATACCGCTCAATTGAGGTGTACCTTGGCTCCGCACCCTGCAGAGCTCGGCTGACATAGTATATGGGTTTCTGGACTTTACCTTCTTCCCGAACTAGTACCGCACTGATTGCCTCTTCCCCAACTGCAAGATAGATAAATAAAACTTCTCCTTGTGCGGGAGAGGTCAAGGCTGGCAAGCGAGCGATGTGGGCTTTTAGTTCGTCAAACGCTTGCTGGCACTCGGGAGTCCATTCAAACTGGGGACCTCTTCGCAGGGCCCTGAAGAAGGGGGAACCCCGAACGGCTGACTTCGACAAGAACCTGTTCAGGGCCGCCATCCTGCCAGCTAGCCGTTGAACCTCTTTTATGTTTCGGGGAGGAGCCATGTCCATGATAGCTTTTACCTTGTCGGGATTAGCTCTTACCCCGTCCTTGGATATCATGTACCCCAAGAACTTGCCTGACCTAACCCCGAAGGTGCACTTCTTGGGGTTCAGCCGCATCCGCGAGCTCCGTAGGACGTCAAAGATCTCTCTGAGGTCGTCGATGAACTGCTCCTGAGTTCGGCTTTTCACCAGCATGTCATCTACGTACACCTCCATATTTCGGCCGATCTGGTTTTTAAACAACTTGTTGACCAGCCGCTGATAGGTCGCGCCTGCATTTTTCAACCCAAATGGCATGGTGGTATAACAATACGTACCGTATTTGGTGATGAAGGCGGTCTTCTCTTGATCCTCCTCGTCCAGAGCTATCTGGTGATACCCTTTGAAGGCATCCAGAAAGCAGAAAATCTCGTACCCAATTGTTGAGTCGACCAGCTGGTCGATGCGAGGGAGGGGGTAACAATCCTTCGGACAAGCCTTATTCAGGTCGGTGAAATCCACACACATCCTCCAGGCCCTGTCCTCTTTTTTGACCAGCACAGGGTTGGCCAGCCAGGTCGGATAGTAGATCTCCTTCACAATTTTGGCCTCCAACAGCTTGCCCACCTCCTCTTTGACGACCTCGTTGCGCTCAGGAGCGAAGTTTCTCTTCTTCTGCTTCACTGGCCGAAGGCTCGGGTCGACGTGCAACTTGTGAACGGCCAGCTCGGGAGGGACTCCGGGCATGTCGTCAGCACTCCAAGCAAAGATCTCGGCATACTCCTCCAAGAGAGACTTCAGAGCCTTCCGTGTCAACTCGCTTAGCCCAGCCCCGGCCCTCACCATGCGATCAGGTCGCTCGGGCGGATGGGCAGTTCAACCAAACTCTCATCCGTCTCCAACCTATCCTCCTTTTCAGCAGGCTCCCAGGGCTCCAGGCAAGTTGTCTGGGCCACCAGCTTCTCCTTGCCTTTGAGGGTTGCGATGTAACAGGCCCGAGCTACCTCCGGGTCTCCCAGCACTTCGGCCACCCCTTCGGACGTTGGGAACTTCATGCTGAGGTGTAAGGTCGAACAGACAGCTCGGAGTGCGTTTAGGGTTGGTCGCCCTAGTATCATATTGTAGGAAGACGGCTCCTTCACTATCGCGAAATTCACCGGAACAGTTCGGCACTTCGGTGACTCCCCTACCGTGACCATGAGGGTTATCATTCCCTCTGGTCTAACCGGCGGACCTGCAAAACCTATCAAAGGAGTCCGAACTGGGATGAGCTGCTTGTCTTCCAGCTGCAATTCCTTGAAGGTTTTGTAATACAGCACATCGATGGCACTCCCATTGTCGATGTACACCTTCTTTACCTTGTAGTTACACGTGATAACTTCTATCACAATTGCTTCATGGTTATTGGAGGCTAAGGGTACCGCGTCCTCTGGCCCATAGATGATCTCCTCGTACATCTTTAATCGTTTATGCGAGTTCTCCCCACTGGGGGGAGGCCGGTTGTTTCGCCGAGCCGTATGGCTATCTCCCCCAGCAGGTCCCCCTGCAATGGTGTTGATTACTCCTGCTAGGTTCTGAACCCCCTGCTCCGGAGTACGATCACGGGGACCTCGAGGTCGGTCGTGCGAGCTAGCCGTCCGATCTCGCTTGAACCCCCCTTGCTTCTGATCTGCTCGCCCGTCACGGACGAACTGCCCGAGATGACCTCTTCGTATCAGTTTTTCGATCTCCTTCTTGAGGTGTCGACAGTCCTCCGTATCGTGCCCGACGTCCCTGTGGTAAGCACAATACAAGCCCCGGTCGCGCTGGGTTTTGTCGCTCCCCAACGGCCGAGGAGGACGCGAGATCCCTTGCTGCTCCATTACGGCCAAAACCCGAGCTCTGGGTGCGGTGAGCGAGGTCCAGGTCTTTTCCTTCTCCCATGGTCGGCTCCGAGGCAAGCGCTCGGGTGCGCTCTTTCGGCCCTGACCTGGCCGTGACTCCCCCAGGTCGGCGCCCTTCCTGCGCTTGTCATCCCGCAACCTTTCCTGGGCGCCTTTCAACCGATTGGCCTCCTCGGCATTCGCCTTCTCGTGAGCTCGATCTAGCATCTCCCGGACGGACTTGGGAGGTCTTTCTACAAATTCCGTATACAACTTCTGCTTGCGCAACCCATTGACAAAGGCAGCCATCACCACCTTGTCATCTCGGTCCCGCACTTGAAGGGATTCATTATTGAAGCGTACCATATACTCGCGCAATGACTCCTCCGACCCTTGATGAACAGTCATTAAATGAGCCGTGATTTTAGAATAGGCGCGCGAGGAGATGAACTGGGCCGCGAACAGCCGCGCTAGCTGGCTGAACGACCGAACTGACCTGGGAGGCAACCCCTGGAACCACTGTCGGGCTTTCCCTTCCAAGAACATGGGAAAGGTCTTGCACCTGACCGCATCAGCAGCTGTCTGCAGACGCATCTGAGTCAGGAACGCGAACAAGTGATCCTCCGGATCTGTGGTCGCGTCATAGGATTTCATGGACGGTATTTTGAACTTAGCAGGCAGAGGATAGTCTTCGATATCTGGCACGAAGGGAGAGGCAGTGTACCTATCCGCCTCTGGATCCAGCAAGAGGTCCAGTTCGTCCTGGATCTGGTATTCCTCTTTCCTGTGAGGAACCTCCACCTGTGAGGGCCTCAGGACGGGCTCCGGATGGCTAGTTCGGGAGTTCCTGTGAGAGGGTTCCGGAACATGGACCTGCTCGCGGGTGAGCTCCTTCTGGGCCTTCTTCGATCGAGGGCTGGGGCTTCCAGATCGGGATTCCGAACTCCCTGCTCCACCCGCTTTTCACACCCGACGTTTCGGGCTGGGAGGGACTCCGGCTTGTCCCTTCAAGTATGTCACAATAGCCTCAAAAGTAGGCAAGTTCGCGGCTACTGATTGCACCAGCTGTTCCGGCGAGATCCGCGAGAGTTCAATCCTTTCATTTCCTACGACAGTATCCTGGTGGGCGCGCTGAGGGTCACCCTGTCCGTTCCCCTCAGAACCATCCACATTCCTCTGAGATCTAGTCTTCGGCATGTTGTTCGCGAAAAAAGAAGAGAGAATCGTTTCCCACAGACGGCGCCAATTGATGCGACTGCCGAAGTGAAGATTCGACCTGAACTGAGGGTTGTGGAACGAACTGGTTAAACGTCCGACCTGCACGTGAACGAGCTGCGGGGCTAGGTCCCCTGGAGCAACTCCGACGATCAAGTCAGAACAGGCTCGTGAGTGAAAGAGTAGAGATTGCACTATGAATAGCGTACCTTGTGTTCTCCCTTCGTGTGATATTTATAGAGTCTCAAGTGGTAGCTTCCCGGTAGGACAAGGAGTCCTTATTGGAGAGGAAGTCGTTCCTAGGGCTCCATGACACGGACCTGGAAGCGCGGACCTCGCAGCCCATCACACCCAACACAAATGAAGGGATCGAAGTCATGGAATCTCCTTTCTGCCTCTCGCAATCCTAAACACATCCCAACCCAGGGGCTGGCCAGAGCTGGAACATCTAAGCATTACTACGTTAAGAAAAGAAGTAGGCTATGAGAACTATGAAGCAACAAAAAAGGGAATAGGCATTGATGAAAGATAAAACGCAGCCCCAGAATCCTCCTTCATCCTGATATGGATCATCAACCCATGACAATGCGTCCTTTTGGTACTCTCTCTCGCTGGAAAAAAATGCAGCGGTATTCTCCTTTTCAGCTAATGCAATATGAGATAGAATGTGAGGGAAAACCTTCTTAGATGAATCTTCTCCAATCAAAAGATCCGAGTGTCCAAAACCATCTATCACCACTCTTTTGTGTCTGAATCCAGGCTGGTGCAATTTCATGTACTTATTCGCTAAGAAAGATGTCTGAGGAGTTACAAGGAGCGTGCGTCCTCCTGATATATATAATGTTGGGAGCCCCATTCTCTCAGGATGGATCAAATACGTGTTTCTTCCTTTTGTATCTACTATAAACCCGGCATTACAGATCTTCTGGAGATGGGAAAATGCCCCCATGTTAAGCCTTGGTAAGTATTCTTTGTTCATCCAATGATGTACTTTGGGGCTTACGTTTTGGTGCCAAAATGCGTTACCAAATATGCCTAAGAGGACCTCGCATTCATCATAGGTGCATCTTTCGTAGCGTGGCATGGCACGAGCTATAGACTTTAGGAGTTTCTGGCGAGAGCTGGCTTTTAATGTTTGGAACAAAGGAAGGGACTTGTCTTTTCCAAGTATTGCCATTGATGTCTTCAGGTTGGTTGAAGTCACAAGAAGAAAGCCACTAGCATAAGCAAAATGGTAGGAGATATACAATTCTAGATAAATTACACATTTAAGGATAATCATTATTTGAGCACAATTTATCCTAGAGGTCTATCGTTTTAGTGAATTTTGACAGCAGTACTCACATAGAAGCAACAGGGCTTGATCTCATTCAATTTTTTAGATTAGCAAAACTGTTCTAATCAAATCCTGTCCACACTCTTTCTCCACATTCAATATGCACAAGGGCAAAATATCTAGCCACCAAGGTACTTACTGGTATGAGAGGAAGCCATAATTTGAATTTCGACCAAGCAGTCAGCTTAAAAAACATGGAAGAGTTGGTGCAGGAAAGGGAAGCTATTCTTTTGTAGAAAACATGTCCTCCCATAAGGGCAATGTGTATTGCAAGACCGCCAACGCAATGTGCAACAACATGTATCTTTACAGACTCCCCGTGCAACTCAGAGATCTTGTTGATTGCTGCAGAAAAGACAATGTGAATTAAAAAATTTCACACAAGAAAAAGTTGACTATGTAAATCAGATATAGATTTTTTTTTTATGTTCTATGCCTAAAAAAGGAACGTTATCTTTTGCGCTACCAGCAGGGATATCAAACATTCCAATAGCTTCTACTGTCATATTAATTGAAGAACTAGTCCCAAGCAGTCTTGTTTGCAGTAGCCAGGTCTCATGCCCTTGGTGTAGTAAGCTTCTAACTAGATCATTACTTTCAGTTGGCAAGCAATAACTTTCAGTTGCATAACCATTAATTAGGAGAACAGGAAATGGCTTATTCCCTTCTTCTTGCCTCTGTGGTTCTTGATTGCACTTCCACTGTTGGCAGCTGATTATAATGCCATCTTCTGTTGAATTTACAAGCCAAAATGAAAGTGAGAATTATTTGAAACAAAATCAGAAACGATACATACAATCTAAGATATATTTTCTTGGATTTTGAATTCCTTTATTTACTATCTCAAATCTCAATATATACTTTTGATCATTCAGTTGATTGCAGTTTCCAAACAGCATGATCTTGACAACCATGCCTAATCATTTGAAGGAAATATTTAGCCTAAAGTATACATGCAACATGATCATTATTGGAGCAGTATCTAACTATTCCTTTTTCCTTTTGACTCATAAGGAATGTGTTTGGGACAGGATTGAATTGGATCTATCAGGTCTTATACCATTTACGAACTAAAAGAACCACAGTAGCATATTGGATTTATGACAACGAGTACCTGTTCTTATCTCATGGAGTGTGCTTCTAGGATAACTATTTTGGTACGGATCCAAAGGAGTGAACCCCTTTTGACTTGCTCTAGGTACTTGTGAGATATATGTCCTGAAAAGAGACTGTAGCAGGATATGCAAAAATTTCATTTTTCCTTTTCCAGACATGCTGAATAGACTCTTCAAGAGCTCTATCATTGAAATATGAAGTTTCCCTTTTAAGCTTATCATGACTTCCTCTGAAGTATGCTGAGAGATTTTTCTTAATACTACGTGAAGTGTTGTTGAATCTTTCCATGCATCAAGGCCCAAGAGAAAAGGGTTCATCACTTTCTTCCCTTCAAGTATATATCTGCATTAAGTAAAATTTATCAATATCATCTAATGCAACAAGAAAAACGAGAGAAACAGTATTTTTTTAAAAAAAACCCCAACCTTGAACCAGAGGATGCTGCAAGGAGGAGACGATAGTGCATGTATTGAGTATAAGGAGTTTTAATATCTACATGGCACAAATCTACTTCGCCATCTATCACGTGCAATTTGTCCATTTCTATGGCACTACACATGACATGGCCGCTAACTTTTCCTTGTAGGATAGGATTAGGCTCTCTAAAGTCTCCAATAGTTTTTTCAGAAGTTCTTCTTGCGTTCAATTTCAATTTCAGGTAAGCAACACATGGCAGACCACCAACATGCCCTCGCATGGTTTCTTTAAAATGTACTGCTGATCCTCGGCTAATCTCTGACTTCCAAGAACGGACTAAACTTTTCTTCTCAACAGGTTTTCCTCTTACAAAGTCTACGTCTTTGCTTTTGTAGTCAAGAGCATCTTGCAAGGGGTGCTTGCTTACATGCTCAGCAGCTGTAGCAATGGTGAGACATGGGTTTATGCCAACTGAGCAAGGTATTAAGGAGCCATCACAAACGTACAGCCCGGGGTACACTGTTGTCGGATTTAATGTGTCAAAAACTTGACCATTGCTGTTGCAAACACCAGATGAAGCATCCGATGAAGAGCAACATCCTCCAAGTAGGTGAACGGATGTGCTTCTATACCTTGACATGAAGAGAATTCCACCCAACTTCTTCGTTATTCTCTGCAACGCTTCAATTTTTCGCGCTAATAAAGGGTCACTTGGTGGTTGAAAGCAAATCTCATTAGTGTCTTTCCGAAATGTAAGCTTCCCATCACCATTATCGTACCCAATTACATTCAGAACCATGTCTTGGCTGGGTTGACCGAAAAGATGCTTCACCTTGTGCACTATGCTATCTAAAATATTGTAGCCAATTGGCCATCCATATGTTGTAATCCCTTTAAAAAGTAGCCAGGGAAAAGCAATGGGAATTACAGCACTCTGCAATATAGGAGAAGGTTAGTTTTATCAACTTCTACTCCAAACTGCAAATAGATGTCTGTTCATTCCTCAAGATTCACATTTTCATGGCCTATGACTGTACAATCTTGTGATAAAAATTTGTGAGAGATACAAAATCCTTCAACTACATAAGAGAAGCAATCATTTAGCAACATAGTGTAATGCTAAGGACTAAGGCTGATCAAGCTAAACAAGTCTAAACTATGAGGCTAGCATTAGAAGTAAGTTGATTGGAATAGTGGAAATTCACCTTGGCTAAAAAATTCATAGTTATGGAGCTCCTTAGATAGGCAAATGGGACTCTTAACTCATGATCCATTTTCACCTGGCAACCTGAATTACAATTTTGGACATTGTGTCCTAAACTTTGACTCGACCACATTTTTTGTTAACGATATTAAGAAAATGAAGTGAATTTTTGAACGTGCAAATTACACATTTGTTTAGTCAAGTCAAATCTCACTTTGCATCCCCAACTCAAGACCAAATTACACAGTTGTCAATCAACACGTCAAATCTCCCTTTGCACCCCCCCTAACCCAAGACCATTGTTTTGTTTTGCATCACTAAACTCGTATTTGGACACATCAAACTTTCAACTTCGGTTTTATCTAGTATTTCATTTACTATAAATAGCTCATAAAGCAAAACCATGCCCTATTCCTAAGTTTGATTGTACTTTGGATTCTTGTGTTTTTTTATTTAACATTTTCATAATTGCAAAAACAATAAAGTTACAAAAATAATTTTATTACTTTGATCGAGGCACAGTATGTCCAAGACTAAGCAAAAACTATGGTGCAATGTGGCCACATATTGAAACTCCATAATTTTCTTGATGCAATTGAAGGAAGCATCGTAGTGGAAGGAATATGAAAGACCATGGAGTAATATGTTCAAAACCTAAAATTTAAGGTGTAAAGTGAGAATCAGTAATAAGGTATGGGATGCAACCTGGAACTAGTCCTGGACAAATGGCTAGTTGGCTACTTATAACTTACAAGAAAAAGAAGACAAGGATGTAAACCTGAATTGTGAAACCCAATGACGAAATATATGATGAAGTAATGGATGGCCCTGGACGTTCTTCAAACGGTACCTCTGGTAGCTTCTTTCTGTCTAAGCCACAAGCATTTAAGGGCGCTCTACTTCGTGAAAGATATGCAACATTATTACCATTGCAGCTCAATCCACAGCCCAGCTTCTTGGAAAGGATCAAGCCTCTCATTTGTGATTGGAAAAGTACCTTTGTAGTGCCAAACACTCCAGCTGCATCCTCAAACAGGTAAAGGTATAAATATTTCAGAATTTTTGTTCTCCACCTTGCAAAACTTGATAAGATATTTTTCCTTATTTGTGTGCGCTTTCTTGTCATACCTGAGAGTACAACAAAATCTGATGCTATGCATTCAAATTCATTAAGAAATACTAGCCATCTGCGACTCTTTCTTCTGCATATTGCTTCATCTACTTCAGAAGTATCGTCTAGATTTCTGAATACATATTGCACTTCACATGCCGTTCTAATATCGCATCCTGCCTGCAATTTACGAAAAAGCTTCTGCATTACTAGTGCCTAGAATTCAATAACCAATCCATGGTTATGGACTTGTCCAAGTTTTTATGTTTGTAATCCTGCAGATGGATGCTTATTGGCTTTTCATTTTTTTTTTAATTCATGCTTTATCTAAGGAAGGGGAACAGAGTCTACCTGTATGGCTGACAACAAGTAAGTTTTATCTGTAGAATTTTTCGCATTATAGGGACAACCAGACATACAATTTCCACAAGCCTGGCAGGAATCAGCCTTCCCAAACTTTTTTGAGCTATACATTTGGTCTTCTGTATCAAAATTCACAGTTAACTTCAATGGCTCGGGATTTTTAAAGCCAGTCTCTTCTCCTACTGCTTCATCCATGATTCTGGCATTCCTGAACTTGATGGGAACATCTTGTATTCGTAGCATTGTAGAAGCTAATGCTTCACAAACCTCCCAATCTTTTTCCCAATCTTTAGGCCATTTCGGGTTCCTTCTTGTGCGAGCTGGTGTTGGCACCACTACTCCTGCATTCACCAGTGAACCTCCACCAAGCCCACAGGCCATTGCAGCTACAGAATCATCATGTCTACAAACCTGTACTCTCGTTGAGCATGCCCACGAATGGAAGAGTTGGAGCTTTAAATCAGCAGACCATAATGCAGAGTCATTATTACCACAGAAAAACGTTATTGTGAGCAATCCATAAAGAGTCTTTTCGTAAAAAGGATACTCTATGGTCTTTGCTGTAAAATCATATTTCCTCTGAACTGATAATACTGTCGCACACATTGATTTCTCAACTTTATATAACTAATAAACTATATGAGTAAATTTTGTATGTATACACTATCATGATTGTATGGATGACATATGAGTAAATTTTTTATTTCAAATTTAAATTTTGTACATCTAACATATATCTAATGGTAATAGTGTATGTACTTGTATATAAAATTAATCCAAACTATAATATTAGAGTATTTTCTGCTGAAGTTCCATTGTAACCTTGGGGTGTTCAAACGTTAGAAAAACTTAAAAGGCCAGCCAATCCAATTTAGATCATATATCAGCTACAGGAAAATGGATATCAAGGAAAACCAATTTATATCCAATCTCTAAAATTCGATAAAATGGAATGATTACAAAAATTTAATTCCAGAATTCTTAATTACTAATTAAATTATCGAATTTTGTATGTAAGAATATGATCGTAGAAACACATTAATTTAAAAAATAAACAGACTCTATCTTGTTGATTACATATTAAATATATTTAACTAATCTACATTTGAATATCCAATTTAAAATTTTGGATATTATTAAAATCTGGCTAAAATCTAATTATCGATCTTTAAATTATCAAATCGAAATTTGAACGAAAGTCGAACATTGATCTTACAATATATATATATATCGAACTCTTTTTACTGAGCTATCGATTACCAATTTCAGAGCACCCCTAATATCGCCCATACGTAAACTTGTTACAAGTTGCAATTTGGAAGACTTTTCAACTTTTGTGGGTCCATGACTACACCACTATCCGACAAAACAAGAGGATACGTAGGGGACTTGGAGTATGGAAGGTTGGTAGTGACGGATTTGGGGCAGGACGGTCACATGCACGGTTAAGGGTCAAGTCCTTAAAATTTTATGTGGCTGAAATTACATCATGTAATTTGATTTCCGCGTCAAATGTGGGACCCACCACTATCTGTTCTGAAAATACATCCTGTGAAAAAAAAGTTATATCGTGTTTAACCAATATTACGCGCAGTGCAAAATGAGGACAACCGGCACAAACGGTTCCGGTAGTGACAATCATTCGAAATGATATAATGGGTTTGTTTGGATTGTGAATTATTAGAGATATTTTCACTGTAGCACTTTTTGTGATGTGATGTATGTGAGATAAAAAGGTAATTGAAAAGATAAAAAATATGTTGAAAATTGTAATGATGATATAAGCAAATATATTTTGACAAATAAACAGCAATCCAAACAAACCGAATATTTTTTCAACATTTTATAATATTTGAATTACTTGTAAAATTTTATAATAAATACATAATTATTATACATTAGTCCCCATGAACAGTAGCAAAATATTATCGTTCGTGTTCCGCATCCTTGGAATTTGGAGACACAGTACAGTCTAGTCTAGGGTCTCCACATAAATCTAGTTGTGCTTTGCACACCAGTTCATGTGATTGCAAATGAAAAAATTAAAATAAGCCCACTTGTGTGATAAATTTTGAAACAAGCGTGAGAAGTAGAAATATCTGGATGTGGAATATATGAGCTTCCTTGGACAATTCTACATGTCACTGGTGTGCCTTATTCAGAAAGAAATGACAGCTCTTGTGCTCTTGTGGTGTACAAGTTGGTAGAGTATACTAGCTTGATGGACTAGTCCCATTCTAAAAAAATATAATATTTTTTGAATGAGATATAATTTTATCTGAACTGCTTATAAAATTTCACAATAAAATTATAATTATTATATATGAGATTCATATGAACAGTAATAGAATATCACGTGTCTCTGTTATAAAAGTGTACAAATAATTCACTTAAAATTAAAACGTTCAAAATATATTACATACGATTAATTTGATTTGTCCCTGCCCGGCACCCTCCCTTAACCCATCTAAATTTTTTATTACCAAAATATATATATATATATGACAACAATAATAACATGGAGGAGAGTCACCGTAAAAACGAAAGGTGGACGCAGTCAATCTTCGGCAACTAGTGTGGAACCAAACTATCAAAGGAGAAAGAAAGTGTAGACAAGAGAAGGAGAAAGTAAGCGATTAACCTGATAAAGAGAATCCTTAGGGCCAAAGCTGACTCCAAATGTCCTGTGCTCCATCCTGACGGCAGACAGCATTTGGGAAGTGTCAGTCGGGAAATCTTGAGCTTCCCATTTCCTCCCTTTTTCAAGTAGGCATACTCTCAGACCACCCATAGCTAGCCGACAAGCAGCAACAGAGCCTCCATATCCGGACCCGATTACTACAGCATCATAGTCGTTACAAACCCCTTCAGCAAAGCACTCTCCTGACCTTCGAAACTCCAAGTACTTGGTTGAAATCTGTCGAGCAAGTTAACTATATATAACATACTTGGTTGAAAGTCCAAAGTCCAAAGTCCAAATATGAATAATATTCTCCCATAATTTATTCTAAGTCCTACTTGCGTGTTGTTTGTAGTCTTGCGGCTATAAGCCTAGTCATGGACTTGGTCTTCGATCATGCACAGCATAGCAGAGAAAATTGCAGTTTTGGTTGCAAATATTTGAGATATATGCATTTTTAGTTTTTACAACCGCAATGTGGTCGTGTGCTAGAAACTCCTTTTTTTAAAAAGATCAATAAAAATCTGCTAGCCTTAATTTGTAATAATAAAATATGATTAATTACCCATGTACGAGTCATGTGAGCAATTAGTTTTTAACCCAATCGTTTTTTCGTCAACTTCATTTTTGTATTTTTAGGCTGAAAACTAATTACTCACATGATTAGTTTGTGAGTAATTAGTCTTCTTTTACTACAAATTATGGCCATTAATATTTATTTCAAGTTCTTAAATTGCTTTTAAAAATATTAATCGCTGGTGCGTAATTGTATGTTATCGGATTCCAATTGCAATTGATAAATAGGACTAAATGTGCTTAGAGATTGAAACATTTGGCACCATGTTTATCTTTTTCTAATTTTTAGGGACTAAAAACATTCATATCACAAAAATTTGGGACCAAATTGAAGTTCTCTCGGCATTATATGACGAAACTCGCTCATAAAAAGTCCAAGTAAATTTAGGTCTCTAAATGGACTATAATAATAATAATCGATTTTCAGGTAAATGACAAATGCAGGCCGCTGAATGATGGAATTGGTTCTTTTGTATTTGATACTAGAAGTTTTAGTCCTATACGGCTATACCAAACGTACTTTGTACTCTTGAATCTAAATTCCCATCAGGATGCAGTCGATTCCACGGATTTGGAGTTGACTTAGAATTAAATGCCACAGATTTGTGATCCCAAAACATTGAATGACGTTGAAATTTCTTGGTTTTACAAATGTATTGAATTGAGAAGGCATTCATTTGGAATTCTAGATTCTTGATTTGGATGGAAGAAGAAATCGTAGGAAATTACAATTATTTATAACTTAGATTTGCTTATCTGAGAATTCTCTTTCTTTTTTGGAGTGTATGGGAATTCTTTGTTTACTGCATTTTAGCTAATCACAATGCAAAGCTTTCGAAGAGTTTGAAGTATATAATTTGTGCCCTTTTTGGCCAAAAAAAAAAAAACTATATTAAATAGTGAATCAAGTTATATATTTAATATAACCAGAACATTAAATCATTTGTTAGCTCAAAAAAATCACACAGCAAACGTATTAATATCATATCAAAATCGGGAGGATCAAGACAAAATGCTAGAAGACAAAAGGTTATTCAAATTCTCAACAATACAAACATGTAAGTATGGAAGTTTGGTGCGGCTCCATGCAGGAGTAAAATACTTGGAACAAGAAGGTTTGGAGCAAGACAATGTATTATATTAAGACAAAATAGCTACAGAACTCCTCAATTGAAAACAATCGGCCACAAGACATTTTATAGGAAACAAAACTAACTCCTTACCAAGTTTGTTAGGATTCAAACGCGAAATAAACAACTATTGAGATATCAAGTCGACAACAATTTAATGAGGAACAAGCCACAAGCATGAAAGATAAATGACACACAATATTTAACGTGGTTCGATTTCATCATTGAGCTTACGTCCACGGAGAGAAACCTGTCCTTTATTATGAGAGGAAAATCTTATACAAGAATACAACTTGAACCCAAACCCAACCCTTGTATATCATTTTTCATCTCTCAAGAACCCTCTCTCACACCATATGTATAAGGCTACATGATGCACCTTGTGTCTCCTTGTGTGTCTATTGTGTAGTATGCCAACCCACCTATTTATAGAGAACATTATTGCCAAAAAACTAAATAACAATTGGAAACCAATACTATTTCCAAAACTCATATAGAGTAGAAAATAGTATCTAATTCTAGCTAAATAGGGTTTTACTTGACTACTACTTCAAGTAACTAAATCCAATTAGGAAACTAGTTACTTCCCACACCAAATAGGAATCTTGACTAAAAGAAATTAAGCCAATTTCCTAACAAATTTCCACCTTGGCGAATATTTCTTTTAGCAAACACAGCAAACCATCCAAAAACTCCATTTGCCTTTTCCCACCAAATACCTTGGTGCCTAGCTACACACCCGAACCAATATAGTCCCAACATCAAATTGATTCAATCGGCAAATGAACATGTATAGTTACCCCGAATCCAACATCCAGTTGACTCGTGAGAAGGTGCCTCAATTCACCATCTCCCTTTGCAGGATTTTTTCTCACCACCACTTGCAATTCGGAATCCTCTTCTGTGAACTCTAACCCTAACTATTGAGGCAATCAAGTGGTAAAATCATCATACTTCTTTCCATTCTCAGGACTGTCTCGCCATATGTGATTTCCAAGACTCCACCTAAAACGAAAAACTCGTACCTATCAGAGTCTTCTGGCGCATAGAAATTAGATCTCCTTATTTTTTTGGGACACGTGTCATACCACCCAAAAACATAACCAAAATCTAAAATCCACGGGATGAAGTATCAATCGTTGAAGGTGTGAGAAAGTCTCCACCGATTCCGTCCAAAATCAACATTGGACTCCACTTTTTCCTTAACTCTTGAGTCACCTGTCTAGAATCACCGTCAAGCATCTCCATGCTTTTCAATTTTTCATCGTTCACCATCAATGCTTTTTGCCAAGCTATTGAAACAAGGATATCACCCATTAAATTGTTCAATTGGTAACAGCTATCAATCCACTTGATCTTAGTAGTTAACTAGGATCCAACTACGAACCTTGAGCAGCCCAGTCTCACAACCAAGCTCTGATACCACTTGTTAGGATCCAAACGCGGAATAAATAACTATTGAGATATCAAGTTGACAACAATTTAATGACGAACAAGCCACAAGCATGAAAGATAAATGACACACAATATTTAACGTGGTTCGACTCCATCGTTGAGCCTATGTCCACGGAGAGAAATCTGTTCTTTATTATGAGAGGAAAACCCTATACAAGAATACAACTTGAACCCAAACCCAACCCTTGTATACCATCTCTCATCTCTCAAGAACCCTCTCTCACACCCCATGTATAAGGCACATGATGCCCCTTGTGTCTCCTTGTGTGTCTATTGTGTAGTATGCCAACCCACCTATTTATAGAGAACATTACTGCCAAAAAACCAAATAACAATTGGAAACCAATACTATTTCCTAAACTCATATAGAGTAGAAAATAGTATCTAATTCTAGTTAAATAGGGCTTTACTTGACTACTACTTCAAGTGACTAAATCCAATTAGGAAACTAGTTACTTCCCACACCAAATAGGAATCTTGACTAAAAGAAATTAAGCCAATTTCCTTACCAAGTTTTACCTTCATCAACTTAAACCTATTCCAACACTAACACCTAAATACAATTCAACTATGTTTTCTAAATCAACTTTGATACCAATTCTAATCGAGTTACCAAATATTAAATTGAATTCTCAAACAAAATTTTATATAGCTTAGTTTTTTTTCGATCAATATTGCATTCCTTAAACCAAACATTCCAATTTTGTCATTTCCAATGTGAACATGAGTAGTATATTGGATGTGCAACTCCAATTTTATTTTTATTATAATCTTCACCAGCAGGTATGGAGCATATTTGTACTTTGCACATGATTCAGCTGCTAATGCCGCTTGATCAAAAATTTTATCCATATTAACCCATTCACCATTAGGACCACTATATTTATGATAATGATCCACACAATCTTCAACCAATAAATCATTTCTTTCTTTTTTCCAATAATTTTCACCCCAAAAATTTCCAATTTCATAATTGCCAATAGATTCATCCACCCCATAAGTACAAATAATTTCTTTTATATTTTCATCCACAACGAAATTATTTTATTCATTGACAAATGCTTCTTTGTAAATCACCCAAAATAATACATGCAAATCCTAATTTTAAGCCATATAAAAAATTTCACAAGTACTTTTCTATCAATAACAAATACATCTTCTTCCAAATTAACCTCCCATGTCAAGCCAAATTTTGACCCATGATCAGATTCATGTCCAAATTAACAAATTTTGGGTTTTTTTTTGGGGGGCGGGAGGAGAGAGGTGAAGAGGGGCAGCCGGCCTCCTAAGTTTGGAGATTTATTTTTAGCCCCTTAAGAATTTTAACAATTTTTATTAGAAATCTTTACTTTGCCTTTCCCCCAAAAAAATTTGACAAAATTTCATTGCTCTCCCTCCACCTAGCATTTGCCTTATGAAAATCTCAAACTTTTATTCATCTTTGAATATTTTTGGTCTGGCAGTATTATTAGTTGATTACTTGTTATTAATTGTTTTAGTATTATATTTTACATTATTAAAAATTTATCATCGTCTTAAGAAAAATCTCTTACTAGCTAAATTGTGCACATCTTTCTATTAGCTATTTTATTTTAATCTTCATTATTGATCAGCTAAATTTCAAAAGTCAGTACCTCATTCTACATTGTGCGTTCTTTTATGTGCAAAACAAGAAAGCTAATAAGAAGTACATTTCACAAATTCTATTCCTAAACATTTAAAACCAACATTTATAGCAAATTAATAATGTTATCTCTTTATTTTCTTTTTGCACTTTGAGATACATTTGCTCTCTAAAGTTTGATATTACAAATAGTTAAGTTATATTTTGTCCCCTATATTTTGTCCCCTCAATATTGTAAGAATAAAAAGAAGGAGAATTTAGTGGTTATATTTAATTAATATATTAATGCAAATTTTGACATATTACACAATATATAGCTGCCTTATTATTTTTCATTAAATAAAGTATTATTATTATTTTGTCAAAAAAATCCACTGAAAAAAAGAAAATTTTAATTCAAATTTTGAATAAAAAAAATACTTTTCTCCAAGTTGCAATTAAATCTCTAGATTGGATAAAAAATGTCTAATAAAAATAGTTAACATGCAATCCATAAGTCTAAAAATGATGCACATAAAAAAAATAAGTTTTTTACATAATGTACACCTACCATCTGCCCTAATAATCTTAGCTTTGCCACTGAACTTTCCCATGATGCAAGATAAGACAAAACTATCCTCTTTTTTTTCTTTGATAGATAACAATAGTCTATTCAACACCTACTCTTACTCATACTCTAATCTATTTTAAGGGGGTCTAATTGGATCAATTGAGGGACCGACAGAGACTGAATTATCATCAAATTAGACGGGTGCACTACACATCCGTCTGAATTTTTTAAAGAATCACATAACATGGCAATTGATGGAAAATAAGGGCACCAAGTACTTAACCGCTAGCCCAAAGGCTGGTGGTTAAGACAAAACTATCCGACTGCAGTGTTTTTCTCTAGTGCCATAAGTCTTCCACTACAGTCTAATTGTGACAGGTGCCGAACCTGTGCAATAATAATTACTAAAAAGTCCTAATTACCACCACAATTAATTATAAAACAAATCCAAGTACTGGAGCAGGGACCCTAGGTGTGCAATGGGTTACTTGATTCACCATGTTCCCGAAGAGTTTGCTTGATCCGATATACCAGATTCGTCTATAAAATTATTAATTTTGTGTACAATGGCAAGTAGGGTCGATTCCACAGGGAATGGGTAGGAAATTATTTCTTTCCAAATTAGTAGAATGAAATTGGGGGATTTTCAATGGGAGGCAAATAAAAAGCAAATAAAACAAACAAAATTCAAAACTATCCCACAAAGCACAATTTTACTAAAAATAGTAATTAATAAAAGTTCTACCCAAAGAATCAACTGCTCAGGCACGGTCCAATTAAATGATCATCGATGCAAAGATATTTCATCCATTCGTCACTAAGTTGGTTATAGTTATCAATAAGCTCTGACAACCAGTTCTTTCTTACCTTTTCGACAGTCAAGGTACGAGCATTGACTGCTTCCCTAACCAGATAACAACCCTAGGTACGACCGTAGGAATTTAATTACCCAATTGCATTAAAGTTAGAAGAACCCAACCCAAACCAACAAACACGCTAAGAGGGTTTATTTAAATTAGATCTTACGTTTCCCCAACATAAAACCAATTATGGTGGTCGCCACTAGATATCAACTAAACGAACAATTACGGATTCAATTTAGTTAATGTGACAGTAGGCTATTAAATTAAATTAAATACCCAGCCGTTGATATTTAATCAATAAAATACCCATGAACAATTAATTCAAGAAACGCATGAATAGCAATAAATTGGAAGAAATAATGAAAATTCGATTAGATCTCACAGATATTATGGACCGCGCCCTCGCGTCAACCTTTGGGTAGAGGAGAAAATTAGCCGCTCCTCATCATGTCAATCCCGCGTGATCTAATTGAATTCATTCAATTAATTGCCAAAAAATTGGAAAGGTGAGACAACGAAGGAACAGTTTTTCGTATTTTGCATCTACACTGGAGCTGCCAGCACAAGGGAAATCTCATGAAATTTAGAAGAGTCAAAAGTGAAAAGTGAAAATAGGGTCTCGATTGTACAGAGCCCAGATGCAATATGAAAAATCTCCAATGTCTGACTGCTAGCCGAAGAAGAAACAAAAGCCAAGGAAAGCGTCTGACCCCAGAATTGCAAAAAGTAAAACTAAAGCTTAAAGTAGTGCTTTTTTCTGAATCTCGTTTTTTCTTCTTTATATAGCCGTCGTCAGTAGTATTCCTCCCAAGAAGAGACTTTTGCCTAAGGGGCTCTGATCCCACGCTTCAGGTCCACGTGGACCAGGGTCCGGCTTTTCGATAACGTCTACCTTTTCTGGCGTGCCCACGTTCTGAGACGAAGGGTCTTCTGGAAATTTGACTCAAGAGATCATTTTTAATGCCGACCATCTACAATTCACACAAATATCAAATATGAGTGACATTCCAATTCTTAGCACCATGAATAGCCAAAATTAAGACAAAATAACACTGTAAAATGTGTCAAATAACTGCTCTATCGAATCCCCCCACACCTAGACAATGCTTGCTCTCAAACATTTCGGAGCTCAGAAGTACAACCAAGGGAGCAGAGGTCATGGAATAGTCTATACTAACACAAGTACCTCAGGTCCCTGTCAATATCGCCAAAATTAGAACACACCGAACATGTTGTAATTCAAAGAAAATATATAAATACTAGGAATGCTCAAATCAACATCATGGAATGGAATTACCATAGGCTTGCACATTTATCACATCTTCACCACTGAAAAGTGAGCTAAATACACAAATCAAAGGGACTTTGAGAGGGTTGTAATGGGGCTTAGATAAAAGGCAGGATAGGGAGGTATAGAGAGGGGGTAATGAGTCAAGAGACTGTCCGAAATCCACCATATAACCGCAATGCTTCACCGGAGGAGTTTCACAAACGAGGCAGTTCTGCTACACACACTGTGCAAGTGCCGCCAAGATTTTTCTTCTTTTTCTCTCTCTCTCTCTCTCTCTCTTTTTTTTTTTACAATAGGCGGCTTGCAAGGTGTGGGCACGCCCTGTAAGCCAAAGTCGCCTGATCACTTTCTTGACTTTTGTTTTTTTATTTTTTTTAGGGGGAATGTCTTGCAAGGCGTGGGCGCGCCCTGTAAGACAGAGTCTTCTGATCAATGGCCTTTTGTCAATTTCTCCCCCCTTTCACAAGGGTACCATCATACAGATCCTACTCTACCAAACCCTTGCACCCCCAGATTCGTTTGCTTTGCACAAAT